CAAGCCACAAATATGATCTGAGCTCCGCTCTCATGCCCAAAAGCTACCCAGGCCTTTCGACCAGCTCCCTTCACTGTCGAACACGATTTGTCGAGCAGACCCCGAAACATAATAGAAATCATTCACTAAGGTAGCTCATACAACGAGCATTGAGCAGCGTTTGATACTTAGAGAAAATAAAGCAAAGTATAAACATGCACGAAAAAAATCATACATAACCAACCATCATGGCCAAAAATAAATATTAACATAAAAACGGCCACAAGAACCGCGATTGTGCTTGTTACAATATAAAGGGGGAAAGCCCCACACAAGAGAATAAAATTACAAAAACTTGGCGCACAGGCCAAAAGTACAACTGAAAGAAAAGTCACTCCTCCGCCTGATGAGGATCTTCACGGGCATCCTGCACATGCTCCTCGCCGATTTGGAGGAAGTTGGGGATTGACTATCCTGCCTCCCGCAACGCTATGAAGAAACCCGGTACCCTTAGTGGACAACTCGACCCTAGGATTCACGATTTTTAATTGCTCCACGACATTGTTGAAGGCCTCCTCGGTGATGGCCAGACAGTCGTCCTCGGCCTAGATAATACGAGCGATCAGCTCGGCCCGAGTCTTTAATTTCTTCACATCCTCACTCTCACCCTCAACAGGAGTAGCAATGACCTACAATTGCTCTACCAGATCCTCAACGACTTTCTTTTCCACAACAAGGACATCTTTCTCCGCAGAAAGCTCATCCCGGACCTTTTTCACCGCCTCCTCGACGGCCCTGACCCTCCACTCCTCCTGAGACTTCTTAAACTTCTCTTCTAGGTCCGCAACTATAGCCTGGGTCTTCTTCAGCTCGGGTTCGTAGTAGAAACCCTCCTCGGTGTAAACCACTACCATCTCTAGAACCTTTATCAGGGCAGAAGCATCATGAGCAAGCATGGTCCTTTTGCTCGGGCCGTCCATCTCCTCGAGCTTCAAGGACTCCTCCCGAGGAATCGCCAAAGAAGAACCCTTGAAGAATCTCTTGTTGTGTAGGCACGAAGGCAGCTCAAATCTTCTTTTCTCCTTCTTCTTGCTGAGGTCCACAATCTCGCCTATACGTTGACGCTTGAGCCTTGAACTTTTAGGCACGGATGATGTCTGGATGGCCGGTGGGGTAGACGAGGAGGTCCCCGACCCAGTTTGAGGAGGAGGCGTTTGCTGGCTGAGGCGGCTCTTCTCGATCGCTACGCCCCCTTTTAGATTCCCTTGGGCATTCTTTACCATTTGTTCTTGAGCAGAAGACATTTTATCTGAAAACCAACGGACACATTAAAACACGAAGAAAATAACAACTCAGATAAACTAATAATAAATAAAAGATTACCCAGAATTTCTAAAGCCCCCGCACGAGTACTACACTCGAAGAGTTCCTTCGTATTGATATATCAGGCCTCTACCTTAGGCCCCACATCTTCTTCGTAAATAATCTTCCCAGCACGGGTCACGCACTGGGCAAGAAGAAAGTCGTCCATGAGAGCCACCAGCTTGGCATAGCTGGCTCGGCCATCATCCCCCAGCATGTGAGGAGTGGCGATATAATTTCCATTTGGCCGGGTAAAATGAGCCCCACTCCAGTAAAAGGGAAACTTGAACAGCCTCCGCGCAAGCACTTTGCCATGCTTGTCGACTAAGGCTTTCCCGCCCTCGTCTGTCGAGACCTCCCAGAAAAATGTTGAGTCGGTGGCCCTCTCTGACACGGGCTCAATAATATAAAACCTTTCCTTGAAAGTCGTAATGGACTCACAAAAGGGTTTGAATAACCTCATCCCCTACTTCAGGGAGACCCAACCAAACTTCCTCCCCGAGACTTGTCGCTGAAGATTAAAGACATTAATGAAGAGGGGAAGGGTAGCTCTAATATCCAAGTACTCACACACCAGCTCGAATGCATGTATAAAGGAGATCGAGTTTGGATGCAGCTGCGAAGGCGCTAGGTCCAGGTGCACAAAGACGGCCCTCTGAAAATCCGAAAAGGGCAGCCTCGGTCCTATCTCCTTAAAGACATATTCGTACATAGGGAACTTCTCCCCGTATGACGAGCAGATACAGTCATCCTCTCTAGGGAAATGGGTCTTCCAATCTCCCTCATCCCCCCACCGACGTGAAGGCATCCTCGGTGTAAGAGGCAAAGAGAGAGGCATGCTTCCCAGGCTCTGCTACGGACCATTCCTTCGTGGTTGCCCTCGAAATAGGAACTTCGCCAGCGTCCCGGGACATGGAATTATCATCATTCTCAGTAACCTCCGAGGAGCTCTCCTTAGACAGATCTCTGAGGATTTCTTCTTCAGCTTCGCACGACATCTCCTTTACCTGAAAAGCAGAGGACAAAAGTGAATTCGATGACAAAGTCAAATTCACCCTTCCACCGTTAGTCAAGTGAAATAGTGCAGTAAGGCCTAAGGACAACGCCCCCGACCTAAACCCTACTCAAATGGAACAGTTACGATACAAGGAGGCTCCCGGGACAATCCCTCTGACGTGGGCGGGGAAAGCTTCCCCGGTACAAAACCCATAATTTCTTTTGGAAAACCACCGGAAAGCTCATAAGCACACCGGAAATTCACAGTTCCCACCAACGGCGAACGCTTATGTGTTGCAACAGAATCAAAATCAACTAAACATCTCAGGCTTCTAAAAGCTTCAGAGAAATCGGCAGAAGAGGAAAGTGGTCAAACCACCGTCTGCCACCAACAGTCACTGGAAAACAGCTCCTACGCTACCTAGTTTCGCCTTAACCACATGCATTCTAAGAAGCAGAAAGTAAATAAGCCTATGACAAGAGACCAGTTCAAGTACTTACATGGTCAAGGAAGGAAATTTGGGGTCGAAGGGCTCTGGCTGATGAATGTAAGGCGGTTAGACAGTATTGGACGGTGGCGGATGACGAATTGCAAAAGCATAGAGCAAGAATAGAAAGAGAAGCGAAAAGTCAAATGAGCAGCTTCTCCCTCTATTTCTATTTATAGACGATCCATGGGCATGTGGGCAGGCACGCGCGGCTAAGGGCATCATCATGGCCCTAGCCTAGCCATCATGACACATTAAATGTGGCATATGGCTCGAGGCACGCGTGGCACTCCACCTCTTCAGATCACATCAATCGTTGGGCTCCCCGTGCTTCGAGCTCCCCAACATGCAACATTACAGATTCCCTAGGACACCGAGGAACAGCCTCATCCCAGCAACAGGCGGCGACCATGTCCGATCCTCCCCGGGAATACAAAATGCCCTTAAGTCATCACTCACATGCTCGGGAGCAATGACTTAGGGGGCTCCTGTTCCAGACTGGCCCAATGGCTAGGCATGACCCAATCCACTTATGCTCCCATAACGGTCCAATTGTCTAAGTCCAACCAATTTAGGGGAGCATTTACCTTTCTGCCCCTCTGTCGCACCCTAATTTTTGACCATAAGATCCCGTCTCCTTGTTTTTTTTGCTTGTTTTATTATACTTTTTATGTATGTGTATTACGACTAACAAATGTGCGCAGGTGCAGTAATGTCAAGTATACATCCTTACAGTCAAATAATCCAAGGTGACTGTTAGATCATGGGGATTCCGGAGTTAGTCTATTTGATCGTCCCCTCGAGATTTCTCAAAGGAGAAAAGGTTTGATTTTGTTGATACGGTAAGTATGGAGAGAAATCATGATTCAGAGCTTGAGTACTTTGTTATCAGGACAAAGTTCATTTAACTCGTGGACCTACAAGTCCGTTAAATCGTGGAAGGATTCCCAAGATTCAGAAGATTTTCCCCAAAGGACGATTAATTCATTTGTTTTAGCTGTGATTTCAATTTGCAAGGTTTCAAGGCACCCTTCACCAAGATAAAAAGAAGATAAGGTGGACTCGCATATTGTTAAAGTGCGATCTAATGATACAATTGGAAAGTAGAGTCTAAAGCAAGCTGGTGTTGTAAGAGCACCTAAGAGAAGCATTCACAGGTTAAGAACAATAAGGAGAAAAGGGAGTGGATGTACGAGCTGTTATTCGTAGAAATCTCCATTTTATTACAAAGTCTAAGTCATCAACAAGTACAATATTAAAACATTTTATTTGCAAGCCAAACAATATAGCAAGTACTCAAAGACAAATTCATGTCTAACTGCTGCAGTTGTTGCATAATTCATGAGTCACTTTTGGAACCAGCTGCAGACTCATAGCAACCATTACTTTTCGTGCACTGATGACATCTCCAAAGCTTCTAACAGCAATGTTCACGGAGCCAAACTTGGCTGGTACTCCACAGCAACTTTAACAATATTTAGACCACCTGGAATTCGTAAGACAGAGAACTCGACAACAAATCCGAACGTCACCTCTACCATCCAAGGCTTGGTCACTGCAGAGTACATGGAAATCAAGTAAAATTCGGAATTAACCATTTCTCCCATTCAAATTTAGAAGTCGTTCATCATACAACCACATTTACCGGCAACATCGGTCTTTCATAATAAAGTTCTCTCCAGCACATCTAACTATCATCAAAACAATGAACTTGAAGCTGAACAAAACCTACAAGTAGCAGCCATTAGCAAGCATACAAGGTCATAAATGCACAATCACAACCTTTGAGATTACCTACGGCAGGGTTACGCAGCGCGTCATTACTCTGTGTTCCCTTCCTGCACAAGATTGGAATTAAGTCAGAGCATGGCATAATGAAGAGGTTATGTGAAAGCAGCTACGGTAGAAGGCAGAATAACTAGACTTATAAGGTTGCCTTAATTACCATCAATCTGCAGCTTCCTCCCAACCTAACAAAACAAACACATTTTCAACGATTAAAATCACACATAATGGAAAAAATGCCGCTTATAGTATCAGAAAGAAGACAATTGCAATTTGTCAGTCAGGGGAAAATTTGAACTGTAAAAGATGGTACTTTGTTGTACAAAGATGGTGATGCTCATGCTATGGACATTGTTGAAATTCATAGACTTTAAGGCTGAGATAGTAGAAATGTTTAGTTTTAATAATGTTGGTAGCATATCTATCAAGTATTTTCTTCCGGGTAACAAGACCACTCTCATTTCAATTTCGAATGATAAAGATCTACAACGAATGGTTAAGTTTCATCACAATTCGAGTACTATCGAAATCTATGTCTTTATTGAAGAGGTACTTGCCCTTGAGGTCTCAATCATGCCTGCCAGTAGGTCAAGTAGAACAACTTTGTCTGAAACAGTGTTGCCAATCAATACCATTATGAATCCTGATGCTGAATATGCTCCACCTGTTGCTTCTCATGATACCATTCAAATTGATACAGATATGGAGATACCTCTTTTGAGTCTTTCCCCGAACGAGGAGAAGCTGGCTAAAGGGGCACAACAGTGGCAGAATACTATTACTGGTGTAGGTCAAAGATTCAACAGCGTACATGATTTTTGAGAGTCGTCGCGTAAATATGCCATTGCTCATCAATTTGCATTCAAATATAAAAAGAATGATAGTTATCGTGTGACTGTTAAATGCAAAGCAGAAGGCTGCCCTTGGAGAATTCATGCATCAGGGTTGTCGAGTACTCAACTGATATGCATAAAAAAGATGAATCCAGAACATACTTGTGAAGGAGCTGCTGGTACTACAGGGCATCAAGCCCAAGGACTTTGTCAATGACATCAAGCAGGAATATGGAATTCAACTTAAATACTTCCAGGCATGGCACGGGAAAGAGATTGCGAAGGAGCAGCTTCAAGGTTCTTATAAAGGGGCATATGGCTTCGTTGAATGGCTTCCAACGAGGTTGCCGACCACTGATTTTCCTTGATAGCATTCCATTGAAGTCAAAATACCAAGGGACATTGCTAGCAGCAACCGCGGCCGATGCCGACGATGGTGTATTCCATGTTGCCTTTGCTATTGTTGACGCTGAATCTGACGATAGTTGGCATTGGTTTTTTCTTCAACTCAAAACAAAGTTGTCAACATCTGTTCCCTTAACATTTGTAGCAGACAGAGAAAATGGGCTGAAAAATTCGATTGCTGAGATTTTTAAAGGTTCATTTCATTCATATTGCCTGCTATACTTAACTGAGCAACTTTTTAGAGACTTGAAAGAGCAGTATTCTCATGAGGTAAAGCGACTCATGATTGAGGATTTATATGTTGCTGCTTATGCAACCAACCAGAAGCTACCACAGATCAACTAGAACTCACGCAGGAAAGTGTTAAACGCCAACTCCATTGTCCTACTTTCTTTATCAGTGATCGAAAGCTTTAGGAAGAAGAGGATACACTTTGTGACAATAGGTAGCAGACCTTGTACCTGCTCAACCAACAACTAAGATCATCGTATAAGATAAACACGATTACCGGGAGTTTAAATTCCACAAAGCACATACAAAATAGTTGTCAGAATTTCATACCATTCTCAGCAGCATATTCATGGAGCGTGTTCGATACCCAAGATTGCTTCCAACACCAATTGATACTTTGGGATTACCAAATCCCGCTACACCATAACTGTCAGAATTTACTCTGGAACGCATGTTTCTTCCCAGACCCAAAACAAATCGTTATCCACACCTGCCAAAAACACAAATCAGAATTAGTAATCCTTTGAGGAATATACCGTGTGAGAGAAAAGATTCGAAAAGATCCCATCCAAATTTTCAAGACATTGAACCTAGACAGATGAGATTTTAAACAGATTAATATCAGAGATTGAATTTTTATTTAACAAGCATTAAACGAAATTGGGCGAAAGAGGAAATTTTTCAAATTGGTCTACACCAAAACGGAAAATCCAATCAGGCTTTCAAGGCATTTTAAATCAGTTTTCAAAACATTTGATTCTCAGTAAAGCCTATAAAAGAGGGTCAAAGGGAGAGGAATTCGTAATCACCACGAAAACCCCAAGTGCGAAACCCTAGAGATCGAAAAGAGGAAAACCAAAAATTGCGAAAACGAAAGAGTACAGGGATACGCCATGATGAAGACAAAAGGGAGAAATTTGAACGGAGATTGAGCGGGGAAGACGAGCGAATGAAGGGTGTTGGGGGGGATTAGGGTTCTCCGCTATTCTTTGCTTTCCCCTGTGTTTTTTTCATTTCGTTCTGCTGAATTTTGTAACATTATAAGTTGTATGTGTGCACGACCACGGTAGTACCATGGTCCTTCGCGTCTCCACCACACGATTCACTTACCACGTGATCATGCGGATCACCTCGCGCGCTCATAATAAGTCTCGTGCACCACATCACACCAAATCCCACATTTTAACTTATTTATTTAATTAATCCTATAAAATCAAAACTAAAATCTGTTTGTTTGTTTCTTTTTAAAATTAAAAAAAAAAACCCTTTAATCTTTAATTAGTTGAAAAAAATGATAATCTCTAATCATTTAATTTTCCCTTTCAAAATCTAATTAATTATTTATTTTTATTTAATTAAAAGAGAATTTTTTTTATAACATAGATAAATGATCTTTTATAAAATAAATAAAAAAAAACCTATTTAATTATCCAATAAAACTTTTATAATATAACTTTAGTTATTTATTAGGATTTCCTAAAAAAATATATGATAGTAACTAAGTGTATTTTATTTAAAAATATAAAGATTTATTCCATAACTTTAAAAATAATTTATAATTATTAACGATAATTAAAATTACCCGCATATTTAACAAAACCTTTTCTCACCCACCTTTTTATTTAAAAATCATTTCTACTCAAATCTAATTTATTTATAATCCCCTCTATAGATTATTGCCAAGTATAATAATTAAAATAATAATCTCCCCCTAAAATCAATCTCGCTAATAATAAGTTAATTCAACATTACTCGTAAAATCATTTCGCCTAAAAGGAACCAACATCGTAATCAAATTCAATTGCGCACGCCTCCGCACATTCACATTATTCACAATTCGCATTCACACACTTAGCGCTTTCATGCGTGTGTATGTTTATTTTATCTGCCCTTTATTACCGCTATTTATTTTACCGCATTTATATTCTCTCATCGCATTCCGTCCAAAGGAAAAACCTACACATGATCCAACACTTGTGTGTAGTGCACATCACTTGCATCATACTCCCACTTGATCCTTGATCCCATTCAAGTTGATCTTTCTAAGTTAGACATAGGAAGGACCGTTATCTTCTACAACTTAGATACAAACAAATACAAATCAATCAAACAATACTCAAACACATTAGAGAAAGATGTTAATCATCTTAAGCGAGATAGAATCTCCACCCCACATCAATACAATCAATATGTAGGGACTTTGCCTTAAAAGAGATAGAGGCGTACTTGTCGATCAATATCCGAGTACTTGAGCCCTTCTCTTAAGACGATGCAAAGACTATTTTCCTACAATTTGTGGCGGTTAAATCTCTCTTAAAATGACAACTCATCTTTTCTCCTAAACTCAATCAATCAACTACCCTAAACCCGTAGGAACTTTGACCACAATCAAAGAACTACTCAAACCCTTTAGGGGAACTGCAGATACTCAGATTTCACTCCCGTAAGGATATGTAGGCATAATATACGATGTCTTATCGAGTATACTTAGAAATAAACCCCTAGGTCTTTCATCCTTAAGCAGATAATCCTTAGCAATAACCAAACATAAAACAAGAGGTTCCTGTAGAGTACTACAGAAACTTAGGATGCTAGCACCTTCCCTAAGTTTAACCAACCCCCGAACCTATAACTCTCTAGCTTGCATTTGCATTGCATTGTGGGAATTTCGATCTTTATCCCTTCCTTTGGACAAATCAAAGTTCGGTTGCAAAAATGAATTAAAGATTCAAACTAATTAATAGTTTGGTATCCAAATTTCACCGCGACACCCTCTACTGGAGAAGGTTGGTCGGTTTACTCTAGGATCAACTACTTTTCCTCAGCAGTTCATGCTCGTCACACACGGTTCCACCATTCAGAAACAGTCACGGTGCATGTGCCCGATACTGCGCATATGCCCATAGCAACGACTAGTTTTAGACACCTTTGTCTGTCCTAATGGCTAGTTTTTGACAGTTACCTATTCTTCAGGAAACGATTATTTCTCCCCGAAAATAAGGACCAATGGCCAAGCACTAGGGGCATTATAAAAACCCTCTTATTTGAGAGGGTCGGGTATCCAATAATCATCCTAACACACACATACTTTGTACTTGCTTTCTTTCTCCCGATTCTCACTTTAGCATCGGAGTGCCTTTCAGATATACCTCCTCCTCATCTCTCACACCCGGCATCACAGACGTTGTCTCTGTCCCACTTTAAATTCTAATTAGCCAGTAAGATCAGATAAGATAGTTACTAACTGATTTCTTGTATCTGTTGCACATTTCCATCAATTTATTACTTGACTTCAATTATATGATCGTTGATTCAATTCAATTCTATATGTTGCACTAAAAAACTATTTTTCAATATATTTTTTAAAACTTTGTAAGTTCTTCTACTTATAAAACGTGATCCTTTAGCAATATTATTAAATTTCCTCTCACAATTTCATTTTGTTTCTCTCAATTTTACATTCAATTTCAGTTTCATAATTTTAACTTTCATAATTTTCTCTCTTTAGTATTCACTTACGACATTTTTTACTCAATTCCTTATTAAACTGTTTCAAAATATCATCAATTTATTTCAAATGGATCTCAATTAATACAATTGTCAACAAGCCTTAATGCATTTTATGCAAAATCATCAACATGCTGACTCTCAAATTTTTCATTTTTTATCACCAACAATAAACCATATTGTATTTCAGTCACCACCGACCAACCCCAACATGTTTTATAGACTTCATATGCATAACGAGGGTGTACAATCTCCTCACTACGAATATGAAATACCTATTGGATCTATGTCAGAATGTCAAGTGCCAAAATTTTCAACTCAAGTTGATATTGAAATATTACACGTTAAGATAAAGAAAGACGAACTATTCCAAAAAATCTTAAGAGTTATTCACAATACATGAGGATGCACTTCTTATTTAGTTATGGCTAAATTTCAAAGGAACCTATTAAAAACGGAAAGATTTTAGATAAGAATTGTTGTCAATTACAACCAGTATCGTGGACACTCAAGAGAGAAGCGATCTAGTAAATTAAAATCTTGATAGCATCATATAATTGGTTTGATTCAAAATTTTGTTGAGTGTTTGACTCATGTGTGCTTGACACGTAAAAACCCTCAAATATACACTATGTGATTGTATCATATTACATAACATGATTGTTTTTTATTAGGCTTATGATAATGTGGATAACAACGTGTCTATTAAGGAAACATTTGATGGTTTTCATCCTAATCTTACAACAAGACCGCAAGGAACAAGATCATGTCTTCGTGAAAAATAAGTTTATCTATAGCTTTAAACAAATTTAGTGGAATATATTTGAGAATATTTTAGACACGAAA